AAAATTGTTAGTTGGTGGAACTTTGCTTTTCCTTTTAGATTCCGTTGATAATATAGCACCTTCAGTAATCAAATATTTATACTTTTTCGTTTCTAAATTGATTATGTTTGAACATTCCTGATGAAGGTAAATCTAGAAAAATGTTAAAATCTATAAATATTGATTTCCTATTCAAAAGACAAACAACTTTGTTATATGAAATTATTCCATTTTAAATATTCCTTACAAAACCTGGGAATACAGATCTGGGCCTTCACGTTGTTGCTCCTGAAAATTGTCTGTTCTATTGAGCGAGGAAATAAGTTTAAACAAAATTTTAAATAAACGATTACGAAACTCTCTCTACGGATTCTCACAGATTCGTAATGATATAATCGGTATTATTGACCTCACATTAACAATAACAAAGACATGATTTATAACATTTATTAGAAGGCATTGAAGAAGATGTGCTACAACAATTGTTTTGATCATTCCTATACCATTTTCGATGATTTATATAAAAATAAATATTAAATGAAAAAAGGTTAGAAATTACTCAGTTACTCAATTAGAAAACGCTCATTCCCAAGTACGTGTTAAGAATGGATAATTGTAAGCGCATCATTTTTAGCAGAAGAGTGAATTGCCGACCTGCTTTAAAACAATATTTGTACTCCAATTCTCTTTAACGTATTTGTTAATCCTATACAAACACATTATTTATGGACCGCATCCAGTCACGGACCGCCCAAGGCATCTTTTGTACAATATTTGTTTCTGAAAAATACAACTTAATGTAATTCGATAAAGGTTTCAATACGAAATAATAACTTAGATTTAGGTTTAGATTCAAGTTTGGGTTTGGGGTTTTGTAATCTCATTGTAAACCTTTATGTAATGCTTTAAAACTGTTGATTGGGGGAATACTAGAGACGTGTATTACTAGTTACAATGCTTAATATTAAATAAATAATTTGTAATTAGCCTATTGATCTTACGAGGGTTTTCCCATTTCTGGATAATCATATTTAAGGCATATCATACACTAAAATAAAACTTGTTTCAATAACTACATCTACATGTACTTTACATCTTCATACAATCAAAAATGGGATAATGAATAAGAGTGCTACAACTACTCTAGAGTTGGTGTGATTTAAATTTAGTTTCTAACAAATAAAATTATTTCTGTTAGAGTACACACAAATTGATATACATCATGCAATAGAAATAAAACAGAGAACAAGCCAACCTGAGTTTCATAAAACGAATATCCAATTGTCATACAAATATCTTCTTTCAAGTAGGGACAAAGCATACTAGAGAGGAACCACTCTTATTCTGGTAAAAGGTTTTTTGGAACAAACATAATAAAAATGATAGATTGTAATATTTGATATGTTTGGTTTACATGAATATCAACTAACCGTCGCTTTGCATATGAAACAAATTGTGCTCCTCTTGACACCAGTATGTATATATATATTGACAATGCAGTTCACAAAATGAGCTTATAGTATTGTTAAAAATCATTTTTTTTCCCCGATCGTTTTCTTGTTAAGTACACAGTATCACAACATTTGCAAACTCTGTTTACTATTCTGGTGAACCTGACTTTACCGTCTTTTTTTTGTTTTTGTTTTTGTTTTTTGTGGGGGTGGGGGGGGTGGGGTGAAAATTATTCATTCTTAAGTTTTATGGATTTAAATCATCTTTCGATACTTTGTTATCTATAAAAAAATATATATGGCATTTACGCTTTCTTACCCCTACTACGATTTCAAAACGAACCCATATTGAAGTAGATCATCTATGACCCTTTGTACCTTATTACGGTCTACTCTGAAGGATCCAAGGAGTGACGTAGTTTGGCATGTTTTCAAAGCGTCTACTCTTGGCATTTTCCTGTTTTCAACCTCCAACTTTATTGCAGAAGTCAGACCAATAATATTTAAACAGGAAATTGTTTTTCGAAAAAAAAGAATTCTTTTATCGAGGAATATGTGATGAATTAATGGCTAATGTTTGGACATATACTTATGAAAAACTTCATGAAATTATGCCAGGATAAAAACAATACTGATACGTGTCTAAAGAAAGAGCGCGATGTTTCTAGATGTCGAATAGACAATAGATGACCAACAAATTTAACTGAATATAACCTATACAGTAACATGCAATTGTACGTGTATAATTATGTTTTGAAAGAATGTTTAAGTTTTATAGAATGATATTGATTCACAAAATTTCAATTGAAATAACATAATATGCTTGCTTTTATACACCGTATGAGTAAATTAAATTAGACATTTACGAGAAATTGTTAATCTTTAAGTAAAATCTTATATTTTTGATGATTTGGTATTTAGATTTCTTGTGAAAATCTAATGCAAAATTCAAATAATATTAAAGGTAGACAAGAAACTTGACTTCATTTAAATAATAGAAGTCATATCCTTATTTTTTTTTTCTGTTGGCAAATTGATGAAATTCTCTTTGGCATCATTTTGCGTAGACTATACTGAAATATGGCAATAGTTCATGAAAGTGTGCAATACGCAATACTGAGTTCAAAACAACACCACAAACAGGTATGTAAAATAAGTTTATGTAAATAAATATCAAGAACAATCAATTAAAAATGTTTAAATATTCTAATTCATGTAGTCTTGACAATAGATCGCAAATGAAATGATGCAAAAAACCGTTGTTGGTACTCTATCTTCAGTATAATGACAAAACTCTGATCGAGATTTACATATGCTAAATGAAGAAAAGTGCATTTATGAATGTCAAATGTATACAGAAATGTAGATAACATATTTTCAAGTATGCATAGTCTTTATCTTTGCAGGTAATAAAATATCGCAATGTGGCTAACCAATGGGTCTTCTACAGTTGTTGTACACTCCTTGCTCTCACATATTAATTCCATCGAAGATTTTGTGTCTAATATTTACAGATTCTGCTTTCATTGACTCAGATGAATCAGTTACCGAAATTAACGTTACTGTTACGTGTCTATGTCTCTTTTGTCTATAATAGATGTAAAGGGAAATTAATTTTATTTAACATTGCTTCGATCATGGATATTAATTGTAATTAGATTTTTCATTAGTCAAGACTTCGAACATATTATTTACCCTGGCTATTTTTTAACACATAGTTGATAATTTAGAATTGTTTGAGAAACATTTAAATAGCATTGATGGAATCATCAGCTCATAATTTAGAACTATGGTACTGACATGATTTATAACAAACCTTTCTTAAATTGTCTGTTTATAAATTCAGAAATTGATACGAAACTAAGGTTTCAATTTCCTCAGGCAAAATCAACCTTAGATGGATTTGGCTATTTTTTTATGTCTTTTTTTCATATAGCTCTTCAAATGTTTCGGTTCTTTTATATCATTAGCTGTCAAATATTCGACTTGGAGCAATCCTGATTAAGGAAAATCCAGAGGAGCGCTTTAGACGCATGAAATTTATAACGTGTTGTTTTCATTTTTTTTCAAAACACAATATAACTTGATTTAAAATCGTTTTCGGTTTGTAAGAAGTGTTAATTAATACTATAGTTACATGTAGGTTCTGCGATTTAGGTCGACCGGAACGGCGCGGAAATAAGAATTGGCACTGGAAAAAGGTTATGCTTAATAGAGACGGAAAATTTGCCTTGCAACAGGTTACCAAACGACCCTTAATCAATAGAGTTATTCCAGTGTTCAACAATGTACATATGGTGTAGAACTCTTCTTTCAAGAGACATCTGACTTAACATACCCATTCCGACCGGATGCACTTGCGTATATATACATCCCGCACTACAAACCTCTAAAGCATGGGTTGTACCGCCAAATATGAGAATTCCAGGTACGACCATATTACCCAAGTCAAACATTCTAAGGCTACTTTCCCATCGATGTATGACACACGTTTTATTTTCCATATACAACATAGATAAATTCGTAGGGAGTAAATTCAGAAAACCCGTACCGATAATGCATTAGATGTCTCCTAAATTGTAACAATTAAAAATCTAATGCATTTAATAAAGGTCTGTTTAAATTTCAGTGTTGCAAAACATGACACTTTTATCCTTCTAAATTTCGAGTTTCAATACTACCACGGATTAAATAATTGTATGGATACTACCACGGATTAAATAATTGTATTGATCTCATTAACATATTTTTTATTATCTTAAAAATGATCCCCTCGAAAAGATTTATAGCTGTCAAAAACCTCATCTCATATAGCTAAGGCCAACTTCTAATCAATATACACGAGAACATATAGAAAAGTAAAACAATAATACCAAACTCCTATGAAAATTCAAAACGGAAAGTTCGTTATCAAATGGCAAAATCAAAAGCTCAAAAATATCTAACGAATGGAAAACAACTGCCATATTCCTGACTTGGTAAAGGCATTTCCCTATGTAGAAAACTGTGGATTAAACCTGGTTTTATAGATAGTATAACCACTTACTTGTATAACATTCACATAGAATTTAAATAATTGACAACAATGTGTGAGCAAAACAAACAGATATAATAGGTAAAAATGTCAAAAATTGGGAAACAGCAGTCAACATTGTGTTATATAAAGGCAACAGTAGTATACCGCTGTTCGAAAGTCATAAATCGATAGAGATAAAAACAAATCCGGGTTACAAACTAAAACTGAGGAAAACGCATCAAATATAAGAGGAGAACAACGACACAACAAAAACACAACATTAAAATGTTACACATACAGAAACGAACTATAATATAACAATAGCCATTTTCCTGACTTGGTACAGGACATTTTAAGAAAAAAATGGTGGGTTGAACCTGGTTTTGATATAATCTTAATCACCGTAAAGACAAACAACTATGTAAACAAAGAAAAACAAAATGACATATAGAAACTACATAGGCAAAAATCAAAGACGATAATACAAAAAAGAACCATAGCACAAAAAAAAACAATAGCGGGATATATAAATACCGAGCCACGCCAAAAGAATATTACCAAGAACGAACTAAACTGTAAAGGTTAAAAATATACAAAGACAAATAAAAAGAACACTACAAACGAACGATAATGTATGACCCTTGTTAAAAAGATCATAATTACAAATGAACTTACCTCAGTAAAGAATTAAATGGAATCCACTTTCTAAATTGTCTATTTGTAATTATGTAGATGAAGAAATTAACAGAATAGTTTGTGTACTGTAACAAGTACAACAAAGCGGTTGCAAAGTTCAATTTAGAGACCATAAAACTGGTAGGTAAATCTTGCCGAATGTATGAGTCCACAATAAACAAGACAGATATGGGTAAGGTCGTTCCTAGAAAATATATACTGGTGAAGAACAACATTGTTGTTAACTTTTTGCTACGTTTATCAAATTTGTTTTTTCCAAGGCGAACATTTCTTGGAATATTGTTTAAGCGAAATTGTCGGGACTTCCGTAGGACTTTCCAGAAAGATATATTCATTGGAAATATCAAAACACATGGAACAACAGACAATACTAGCATATCTACTATTGAAAAGTATTGTTCTTCGAATTCGAAATAATTTTCGGACGTGTTGTTACAATGTTTACTATTGTCCGAAATAACCAAGCTGTTTGTCCAGAAAAAATGAGAATCAAGTAAGACAAAGAGAAGACAAATGATGATGTACGATGAAACCAGCTTCTTAGATATGTTCCCTGCAATGAATTTTAACGGGAATTTAACTTTGATAAATCTTTCGGCTGAAATGCAGACTAAAGTCCAAGAGGAAATATGCATCGAAAAATAAACAAGGAATAACGAAAACTTGCACCCAATACTGGACATTGTTCTAATGTCAAACTCAAATATTTCTAAAACTAATCGTCGACATAATCCGCTGGCCAGTACCGTTGTATCGGAAATAGCCAAGACTAGTATTAGTGTATATGTGAGTTTCTTCAAGAATTCCATTTTGATTAGAATATAAACTATAAGAATGTTTCCAATTATTCCAAATATGAAAATTAAAGGCGCAAGTACTTTCCATAGCCATGAAGAAATTTCATCTAAAAATATTATTTCACTTGTTGCATTTGCTGATGAGTTTTCCACCATTTTTATTTTTGTTATTTTTGTCTGTTAAACTACGTTAAAATTAGACTTTTTATCAAAAACAAAAGTTATTTTCTGCAGCTGTTGATAATTATTTTATGGCATTGGTTATTAATTTTATAACCGGTTAAAGTTCTAACATGTTTAGTCAATATGCTTTGCTAAATATTTCTATTTAAATCTGTACTTCGTTTTCACACTGAAACCAATTGGATAACTTAGGCATATATAAAAAAAAAATGGTTTTATATAAGGATATCCGGTTCTCAGAATTGCAATAAATATCAATTCTTCTTATGAATTTCATATTCTCTAACATTTGAATTTGTTATTGTTCTGCGGCAAATCATTAAATAATTTCTATTGGCAATAAACCAATTAGGAAGTGTTGATATTAGCTTTTTTCTTTAAATAAATAGTTCTAGGCATAGTTCTATCAAGGGACACAATCCAGTGTGATCAACATAATCGGACACGATGACAAATGTTTACTTTTCATTGTCATCAAAAGATACAGGACTAAACCAGTTGACGCATACTGTTTAGCGTTCAATTACCGACGATTAATGATGCGTGTATTAATCATGTGATTATATTTGCTTTTTTGGTATTTTTCTAGATCACAACCAATTTGAAAATTGCTTATCATAAAGCCCTTGAAAAAAAAAATTCCTAGGAATTTATATTTTCATTGCTGACGTCGGGTGTTTCCCTATTAAATTAATGTTGGTCAATGTTTTCAACTTATTCCCATTCATTTAGGCATTTTACACCGAGAATAAGATAAAATCATACGAAGAACATACTTTCCCAATTGGGAACTTTCCATTTCTATGTAGCAACGTTTTAGCAGCGCCAGCTGTATACGGAGTATAGATCTTCCAGTTGATACGATATTACAGGGTTTGTATTTCCTATCATGATTACCTTGATAGAGGGAAGCTGCTCAGACGGATGCTATTAAACCGAGAGATCCAAGTGGTGAAGTTGAAGTCATCCCTTCGTAAGTTTTACTGTTTGCAAAAAGTATAAATTATTCTAAATAATAAGGATGTTCTTGTCCCAGGCAGAAAACCCTGGCCGTGTTAGGCGCAACTTTTTGGAAGTTTTGGTCCTCGGTACTCTTTAGCTTTGTACTTGTTTTGGCTTTCAAACTTTTTTCATCTGACCGTCACTGGTTAGTCTTGTGTGGACGAGACGCACGTCTGGCGTATTAAATTTTAAACCTAGGACCTTTGGTTAGCTATTATTTGTGTGTTTCTTTGTCCTATATGTTCTCCCATTTATTTGTTTTGTAGTCATGTCATGTAATGTTTTAATGTTATATTTAACATTGCCATAAAAGCGGGAGGTTTGGTATGCCACAAAACAAGGTTCAACCCACCATTTTTTTCTTAAAATGACCTGTACCAAGTCAGTAAAATGGTCATTGTTACATTATAGTTCGTTTCTGTGTGTGTTACATTTTAATGTTGTGTTTTTGTTGTATCGTTGTTCTCCTCTTATATTTGATGCGTTTCCCTCAGTTTTAGTTTGTAACCCGGATTTGTTTTTATCTCTATCGATTTATGAGTTTCGAACAGCGGTATACTACTGTTGCCTTTATTTACGGACGCCATCACGAGTTGGTTGACCGTTATGGAATATCCGTTTCACAGATGATAGTGGATACGTTCCGATTGTCGTAAATACAATTCCGTCCGCCTTTCCCCGAATGTGACCTATTACCGGTTTTGTACTAACATGAGCATCACGACAGGTGCCACATGTGCAAGATCTGCTTACCCTTTCGGAGCACCTTGGATCACATCCAGTTTTTGGTGGGGTTCGTGTTGCTAAGTCTTTAGTTTTCTATGTTGTGTTTTGTGTACTGTTGTTTGTCTGTTTGTCTTTTTCTTTTTCATCCATGACGTTGTCAATTTATTTTTGACTTATGCGTTTGAATGTCCCTTCGGTATCTTTCGCCTCTATAAAACTGTAGAATTTTGTGCATGATAACTTTAAGCATTTATCCTGCGATAAATACAATATGTTATAAATCATTCCGCGCGTAAATTTCATCTTGAAAGAAGATATGAGTTCCAGATGAGAAAAACATGAAAAAACTTTTTTTACAGTTTGGTAATAAAAACCTCAAATCAAAATTCCGCGAAAATAGTTTTGTAGACACACGTAGAATGTAATATAATATCCTTGGTCACAGATTTGTCGATGAAACTATCGCATTATTTTGTTGAGATTGATGATGCGTTCTCCTGAAAATAAAAGACGTTATATATTTTAAAATCTTCATTGATCTAAACTTGATATCTATGGCAGTACACTAATCATTGATATGTGAAAACCTAAGTTAGTTCTTATGTAAGTAGATTAACGAAGTATCCATATTTTTTTATATAAACAGTACTTGTCCAATATTCCGTGTATAAGTTCCGTATAATGAAACTTGACATCTTTTATAAAGAACCTGTTTCGGTTTGCAAGGCAAAAGCTATACCAGTCGACCGAAAAAGTGCACCGACGCGGACAAAAATTATTAAGGTACTTTAAATAATATTTATGTTTATGTCAGTTCAGTGTTATGATACATATTTCATCTTTTGGTGCAGAAATATTAATAGTGTCATTTTCATCAGGTAATTGGTATGTTTCAACACATTTAACTGTTCAATATCCAGTCTTCTTTTTGTTGTTGTTGTTTATAAATTAAAATAAAAGAACACAATCATTTTAGTCTATCATGCAATTGTTTTTTTTCTTAAGATGTGGTATGATTGCTTATGAGTGAGTGTCTCCGTCTTGTATTCCAATTACTTTCCTTGTCGTCGACTTTGTTTTATATTTCAGGGTCTTTTCCTGTCCTTTTGACATGTTAAATATTGATTTTGTTTACATCATTGACAACTAGTTATAATGACAAATGCTGATTAGCACATGGGTGAACGGAAGCACAATGTTAAGTATTTGATTATGACGAAAGATGACTCCTACAAGAAACCTAATTATGGTCTTTTTAAAACACATTTCATATCAATTTTAGGGCTGAAATAGAAACCTTTTGGCTGAACTAGTGTTGTACCATCGTTTGGCGTCTGTGCTCGGATACCTATTCTAAAAAGTTTTGTCCTATGAAACCACCGAGTTTGCCAATTGCTCTCTAAATATATTTATATATATATATAATATTTTTAAAATACAATCACTGAGAATCTATATTAAGATATGTCTGCCTGTGTATAGTGACAACTGCAAATTATACCTTGTCCATTGGATTTCTTATTAATTAAGAAATACCAGGCGTTAAAATTATTATAATGTGCCTAGAAAATCAAACTAACAATGTCAGAGTAGAACTGATTATTAATTGTTGTGCTGATATTTAGAGTAATTATGTATATATATATATATATATATATATAAACGCCTAAAAAGTGTACACAACAACACCAATAACAAAAAAAGGAACTATAAATGTAATTATTTATAAATATTTCGGATAACAGATATCCTTCATCAGTAAATATGATTGTGATGTTGAATGAATCATATATCAGTCTACTTAGATTAAACTATACCAATCTTGAAATTTATACAATAAAAATGTCAAACCGAACATCAGGTAAGACGCTTGCACAATTCTAAATATGTGTTAAACACGACATAGGTTATATGACTAATTACAACAGAGAGTTCAAATATATGCTTTAAATAAAAATAATAATGTGCGATATGAACTAGCACAATTCTAAAGCTTTAACGGCGACGACAGTTATGATGTTACAAGAACGATTGCGTCAATAAGAATTCCAAATAAACAGCACTGAACGATCTAAATTTGTAAATATTTCAAATTTGACAACGGTAGAGTAGTTGCAACAGAGTCTGCGTATTTAAACATCGCAAACATACGGCCGTTAAGATATAATAATAAATTTTGACTAAGGTTAACTAGTTGAACGTGGCTTGGTTCTTTTACATCCCTCAAAAAATTAAGTAATTTAAATTGGTATATTCAACAGATTTATTTTAGAGATGAGTAAGGTAAAGAAATAGAAACAGAGACTGTAATAAAAAGTAATACAACCCAAATGTGAAGCACTGCATGGAGTCGAACTACATTTTTTCATTTATCCCATTTGGTGCCAAAGTTGTTAATTTTCTTATCCAAAATCTTTCCCGAGTGAGTCTATCCTCCCTAGACCAAGCAGAGTTGTGGTCAATGATTGTAATGGTCAGTCGATTGAGATCTGCCTTAGTGTGGCCAGGGGATCTCAAATGTCGACTGAGAGGGAGGTCTGGCTTGCATTGGTAGTCGCTACGATGACCGTTCATTCGTTTGTGAAACGGCTGTTCTGACTCGCCAACATACTGTTTACCACATTTACACTGTAGGAGATACACAACATTTGTAGTCTTGCAATTAACATTGCAAAATATGGTGTATTCTGTACCAGTGGAGTGACTGTTAAAAGTCTGGGTAACCAGTATTTGTTTGCAAGTCAGACATCGTTTGTTTCCGCAACCCTTGCAAGAGCCCACAGACGAAGAGCCTGCTTGAGAGGATAAATCAGCTCTCACCAGCAAGTCTTTAAGGCTTTTGGGCCTACGGAAAGCCAGTACAGGTGGCTCGGGAAAGATCTTGGATAGTTTAGGATGTTTTTCGATTTCTTTCCAATTTTCGCGGATTAGGTGAGATAAGTTGTCAAATTTTGGATGGTAAGTCAACACAAAAGGCACCCTCCTGTTGACTTTTTTGACTTTATATTGTAAAAGTTCATCTCGGCTGATGTTGTTAGCACGAGAAAAACCTTTATCATTGTCTTTTCTTTTGTAGCCCCGATGTTTTAGGTGACCGCGAAGTTCTTGTAGTCGTTTTTTTGCAATATCGTTGGTGGAGCATATCCTTTTTATTCGTATGGCCTGGCTGTAGGGAATGCTCTTGGTGCAATGTTTAGGGTGACAACTCAAAGGAGATAGATATTGATGTTTGTCTGTGGGCTTGCAATACAGATCTGTAAATATGTTTCCATCCCTCACTTGCGTTGTAGTGTCAAGAAATGTGATCTTAGAGTCAGAGATTTTATATGTGAATTTTATTGAGGGATGGGCATCGTTGGCATGTTGAATGAACAAATTTAGTTCTTGTTCAGTATTATCCCACTTCATGTCAATATCATCGATAAATCGGAACCAAGAGAGGGGTTGATAAAGAGAAGAATTGAGAATTCTATTCTAATTTCCCCATAAAAATATTGGCATAAGACGGGGCCATCTTTGTTCCCATTGCTGTTCCATTAACTTGGAGAAAGTGTTCACCATTGAATGTGAAGTTGTTGCATTGTAATACCGAAGTTAGAAGCTGGATGAGACATTCAGTCGGTGGATGTAAGGTGTTACGAGAGTTCCAGACTTCCCTACAGGCTTCAATACCATTGTCATGGGGGATGTTAGTATAGAGGGAGGTAACATCAAGCGAGACAAGGACCGTTTCAGGTGGGAGAGGGTTCAAAGATTCCATTTTCTTAAGATAATGTGTTGTGTCTTGTATATAGGATGGTAAATTTTCCACATGTGGTCTCAGATGAAAGTCAATAAATTCTGATATTTTCTCTGTAGGGTGGTCATTGGCGGAAACAATTGGTCTACCTGGATTATTGACTTTATGTATTTTGGGCAGAAGATAGAAACGCCCCGGCTTTGATTTTTCAGGTTTTAGATATTCAAATGTGTTTTCATCAATATGTCCCTCTTCACACATGTTTTTCAGGTTTGTGGTGATCTCTTTGTTGAATTGAGGGGTGGGGTCAGAGTCTCATTTCTTATAAGATCTCTCATCAGAGAGTTGACGTTCTGCCTCTTGAATGTAGTCACATTTGTCCATGACGACAACAGCGCTACCTTTATCTGCTGGTTTTATTATAATGTCGTCTCTGTTTTTAAGTAGCCGCACAGCTTCATTTTCTTCAGACGATAAATTGTTGAATGTTTGGGAAGTGGCAGTGGACAGATGTGTTACGTCGGATTTAACTTTGTCAATAATATGTTCTAAAGTAGCACATTAACTGGGTTTAGGAATCCATGAACTTTTTTTCCTGAATCTGGGAATATCGACATCCTCTTGGTCGTCATCTGAGTCGAGATCACTTGTGTCACTATCAGTGGTACTTTTTGTGGTGTCCTTAGAAAAATATTCCTTGATTCTGAGGGATCTTGCTAAATTGTCTAGGTCATCCTCCAAAAGTATAGAATCTATTTTGCCCGGCGTTTGACAAAAATTAAGACCTTTTGACAGTACCTTAGTCTCGGTCTCCGACAAAGCAACTGAAGACAAATTGACTACAGTGTTTGTAGAGTTCATGCAACTTTGTTTTTTTCTCCTGAATTAGCGATTCCGGGATTTTTTTCCGGTTATGATGGTACGATTGAGAGTTAAAGTGGTCTGCTCTCTTACAACAGTGTCTAAAAGTACGCCGTCTCGTTTAAATTTATTAATTTGTTTTTTGTGTAATTTCCGGGATTCAATGCGCAAGATGTCATGGAGGCGCTCGTTGATGGTGAGCAATTCAGGACCGGAAAGTTCTTGGCATGATTTGTTGTAAAGATGGTTATATCTAGTTTGTAAATTTAAATGTTTATGAGACGCTTAAGCGTGTAATAGATCCATCAATTTCACGGAACTACTGTGGAGAATATTATTCCATCTATCCATAAATCTGATAGATTTTTCACCGGTGGTAAGGGGTGAAGCTTTTAAAATAAGCCCCATCGGAACAATACCCTGAGACAGATAAGTTTTTAAATTTGATACATGATGTTCGGTTTTAACTATTTTAAGACTCAAAGCTCTAAGCTTTTTAAAAAAAGACATAGTTTGCCTGGTGGTAAGGCTGAAAGAAAAATCGGATCGCGTGATAAATCACTCGATACAGACTAAGAATAAAAATATATATAAAACGTCTGAATAATAGTCAACGATTTTTCCCACGAGGGCGCTGGATCGTTACGAGTAACGCTACACGTACACAATAAATAAATTATATAAACGCCTAAAAAGTGTACACAACAACACCAATAACAAAAAAAGGAACTATAAATGTAATTATTTATAAATATTTCGGATAACAGATATCCTTCATCAGTAAATATGATTGTGATGTTGAATGAATCATATATCAGTCTACTTAGATAAAAATATACCAATCTTGAAATTTATACAATAAAAATGTCAAACCGAACATCAGGTAAGACGCTTGCACAATTCTAAATATGTGTTAAACACGACATAGGTTATATGACTAATTACAACAGAGAGTTCAAATATATGCTTTAAATAAAAATAATAATGTGCGATATGAACTAGCACAATTCTAAAGTTATAACGGTGACGACAGTTATGATGTTACAAGAACGATTGCGTCAATAAGAATTCCAAATAAACAGCACTGAACGATCTAAATTTGTAAATATTTCAAATTTGACAACGGTAGAGTAGTTGCAACAGAGTCTGCGTATATGGCATCGCAAACAAACGGCCGTTAAAATATAATAATAAATTTTGACTAAGGTTAACTAGTTGAACGTGGCTTGGTACTTTTACATCCCTCAAAAAATTAAGCAATTTAAATTGGTATATTCAACAGATTTATTTTAGAGATGAGTAAGGTAAAGAAATAGAAACAGAGACTGTAATAAAAAGTAATACAACCCAAATGTGAAGCACTGCATGGAGTCGAACTACATCTTTTCATTTATCCCATTTGGTGCCAAAGTTGTTAATTTTCTTATCCAAAATCTTTCCCGAGTGAGTCTATCCTCCCTAGACCAAGCAGAGTTGTGGTCAATGATTGTAATGGTCAGTCGATTGAGGGATCTCAAATGTCGACTGAGAGGGAGGTCTGGCTTGCATTGGTAGTCGCTACGATGACCGTTCATTCGTATGTGAAACGGCTGTTCTGACTCGCCAACATACTGTTTACCACATTTACACTGTAGGAGATACACAACATTTGTAGTCTTGCAATTAACATTGCAAAATATGGTGTATTCTGTACCAGTGGAGTGACTGTTAAAAGTCTGGGTAACCAGTATTTGTTTGCAAGTCAGACATCGTTTGTTTCCGCAACCCTTGCAAGAGCCCATAGACGAAGAGTCTGCTTGAGAGGATAAATCAGCTCTCACCAGCAAGTCTTTAAGGCTTTTGGGCCTACGGAAAGCCAGTACAGGTGGCTCGGGAAAGATCTTGGATAGTTTAGGATGTTTTTCGATTTCTTTCCAATTTTCGCGGATTAGGTGAGATAAGTTGTCAAATTTTGGATGGTAAGTCAACACAAAAGGCACCCTCCTGTTGACTTTTTTGACTTTATATTGTAAAAGTTCATCTCGGCTGATGTTGTTAGCACGAGAAAAACCTTTATATATCTAAACAAGTCTAAATTGAAAACAACGTTCAAACCTATGATTGCGTTGGATAAAAACCGCAATTTTTATACGTGTGCATGCAAAACAAATTTCTTAGTAGAGGGGTCTAAATACAGAACAAACAACATTTTCCAAATGACCAAAAAAGTGAAAAAGTACATTTTAACAAAACGCATTTGACTAGCAGGTCGAACAACGGATGTTCTTAAACCCTGCTAACTGTCATTAGCGATTGACAAATAAACGGATCACCAGATGTAACAAAATGGATCTTAACTATTAATTTAATACCAAACAGAAAACAATAAATTTGCGGAAAAGATGGTATACCGCAAACAAAGGGTGCAAAAATTAGTACACCATATTTGGATTTCGACAATTAATGTCTCTTCAGTGATGTTAGGAATTGAAACGGTATTTGGAAGGCCATATGATTTACCTCAACTTAGGATAGACTGTTGATTTTTGAAGAGTCGAAATAGGATGAACGGATCATATAAACCCGAAGGCAAATATAATACAAGCCCAAACAAAAATATAGAAACAAGTCTAAATTGAAAACAACGTTCAAACCTATAATTGCGTTGGATAAAAACTGCAATTTTTATACGTGTGCATGCAAAACAAATTTCTTGGTAGAGAGGTCTAAATACAGCACAAACAACATTTTCTAAAAGACCAATAAAGTGAAAGAGTATATTTTAACAAAACACATTTGACTAGCAGGTCGAACAACGAATGTTCTTAAACCCTGCTGACTGCCATTGGCGATTGCCAAATAAACGGATCACCAGATGTAACAAAATAGATCTTAACTATTAATTTGATACCAAACAGAAAACAATAAATTTGCGGAAAAGATGGTATACCGCAAACAAAAGGTGCAAAAATTAGTACACAATATCCGGATTTCGGCAATTAATGTCTCTTCAGTGATGTTAGGAATCGAAACGGTATTTGGAAGGCCATATTATTTTCCTCAATTTATGATAGACTCTTGAATTTTGAAGAGTCGAAATAGGATGAAAGGATCATATAAACCCGACGGCAAATATAATACAAGCTCAAAAAAAAAAAAAAAAAAAAACAAGTATAAATTGAAAACAACGTTCAAACCTATGATTACGTTGGATAAAAACCGCAATTTTTATACGTGTGCATGCAAAACAAATTTTTTGGTAGAGGTATATAGATGAAGGTGGGGTTCAGTAAACTTCCTATTAATCAGTCAGGGTTCAGACGGTTTCTTACGATTACTTGCCAACCAAACTAGCAGTGAACATCATCAGTAACTTGAAACAATAGTAAGACAACATTTTAGAAATGGCGTTGGTATTAGGATTCATATAGAGAAACTTTTGACTGGCATAAGTAATCATGCTAAATATAAGTCATAAATACCTGATTGGAATACATATTTTACACTTAGGCAGCCAACGTCGGAAATGTTTGTTTATTGTAATATATATGTAGAAATTTACTGTATAGTTGGAGTATTGGAATAAATATAAAACTGTCGTCGCTAGATTAAGCTGTGAATGACTATAATCCGACGAAATGTTCTGAACATATGAATCAACAACAAAAATAATTGAAATCGGCAATGTCGAACACAGAAAATAAACATTCGTAAAGATCAGCATTTTTGTTAAAATATGGCTATTATCGTTATTATTGTATCTACTTTCACAACCAGGCATCGACTTTGCACGAAATAATGCTGATTTCTGCAAAATTTGCATCATTGAAATGTTCATGGTTAACATCATTATAAAAGGAATTAAAGACAGCAATGCTAAATCTATAAAAGTATAGTATTTTTCCTCGAAGATAAAATATTCATCGGATGTGTTATTGCATAATGTTGTTCTGTTTTCAGTTGTAATCAAACCATTAGTCCAGAAAAAGTGACAGTCAGCGCAAATACATATAACAATCATACAGATATAACCACAAATAATTTTTAATGATATACTTGTCGATACAAACTGTAACGGAAACCGAACTTTTACAAAACGCTCTGCTGTTACACAAACTAAAGTCCAGGAAGATAAGTGCATGGAGAAGTAGACCATAAACAAATTGATCTTGCATCCGATATCAGTCAGTGTTCTGACGTCAGTTTCAAACATTTCTATAATCCACTTCCGAGTTAATCCAACACAAAGTACTGTGGTATCGGAAAGCGAAAGGATCAAAAGAAAGGAGAAGGTTGCATTTTTCCAAAACTCCATACAAATCAATATATAAGTTGTCAAACTGTTTCCAAATAACCCTAGAAGAAAAATTATGGGTGCAAATATTATCCATAGCCATGATGATATTTCATCTAGCAAACATCCATTAAGATAAGTACTGGTAAAATTGGCTGATATATTCATAACAACTGAAAAGCATCCATGTATATGTATGACCCTAAATGAAAATTATAAATTTGAACCCTCTTGTAAACAAAATCTTAAATTGATTATCACTCATAATTTTCATGATGAATTTCATTTAGTTACTTGTTAAACAGCTGTGTTTATTTTGAAGTATTAATTTACGTGTTTTTTTTTATGTTTTGAATAACATATACTACATTCTAATTCATATTAGATAATTAAAAAAAGCAATTATGAGAATCAATATTCAATCCTTTAAGCTTTTGTAGTTTTGACGATTAATTTTAACAAATTTCACTGATAATTCGTTAGTTGTACAAAATTACTGTCATGAGAATTTGCAAAAAGGACTTAATTGTTTTTAGAACCTTTGGCATCTAATTGTTTCGGACATTAAGCGTCAAACGATTATGCATGAAGCGCTTATATGTTTTATCTGTCACTTGGTTTATTGTTATGTTATTTTCAATTTCAGTACAAAACCAAAGAAACTACAAGCAGTTAAAATGTATATGTTCTGTTTCGTTATTTAAGCCTTGCTTATGTTTTTCTTATACCTTGGTTCTATGTATTAATTTACAAAATAACGTTGTCCAGTTTTACAAGTTATTAGTCTGGTATCATTGTTAAGTTTTTACAACCGCTGGGTAGTAGTTACTGCTAGTGATACGTTTTTTATCACCTTACCAGCACTTTGTGTTACTAAATTTTTTTATTAAATTCACTGTTTATATAAATTTGAAATAATAGAATCACTAAGAATGTTCTATCAACTAGGCATAGATGGCCGTCTCCATGTTGGGCAAAACTTTTGAGAATTTTTTGCTCTCAATGCTCTTTAACTCTTTATTTGAATTTGGCCGTCCAACTTGTTATTCGAGCATCACTGATTAATCGTATGTAACCGAACCAAATTAAAATCAATCGCAGTAAAAGTAATTATTAGGCCAATATACAACAATAGCGCTATCAATATATTCTATTTTCAAACATTTATTCAAAGCTTCAGCTATCCATTTTACTAAGTCTCTTCTCTATTGACAACATGTATATAGTTTTCATCACACAATTGAATTATGTTTTTGTCAAACACGTATGTATAAGAAGATATCAGTTTTGTTTTTGGAAAGAATCAAATGAAGTCCGGTAGAAGTATAACATTTAAGGTAAGCTTAAGGCTTTCTATGAACTATGAAAACAGTATACAAGATTTTGCTGACGGACACTCTTTGTCATCAAGGATTAAACTATGAAAATAACACTTTATAAATGTGTTTACCACCACCAGGAACACTCAAACCAAAACAAAAAATGAAATGCAAGGAATAGTAATGCCTGCATATATGAGGAGCTATATATATATATATATATATGACAAAAAGAAACCTAAAGGGAAAAGCAAAATCCAATTTGCCCCCAGAGAGTTGGGACGTTAGTTTAATCATAATTTATCAATTTATCAACGAAGAATTTTAGAAAAGTATGTTATAAACCAGCTCAGTACCGAAGCACTGACTAATGAGCTGATTATTTTTTGAAAACAGCTTTACAAACTTTTAGGTAAGTTTCAAAATGATGATGCAACTTTTTAGCATTATTGGCGAAAGTCATTTTTTATAAATATAATCGTATAATGACATTTGAATATAATATTGATGACGTTTATTGACCCGAAAGCCATCGAAAAATAGCAGATATATACACATGATAAGAAATATTTGTTAATTTGAATGTGTGCATATGTTTTAATCGATAAACACAGATAAATTAACATCCACAATTACATAATTTCAATACCGAAAAAGATAAATGAAACATCCCTGTAATGTTGCAATTGCAATCGCGGTAACAATTTTACTGCACCAGATGCGGATTTTGACAATTAATGTCAAACTGCCAATCGATAATCAATATAAGTCTCCATTATCTATCTATCAGTCTTAGATTTGACATCACAACAATAACAATCTAATAAAAAAAAAAGAGAAAACGAAAGACTGATGGAATATTATCAAAACTGTATATCATATAAAAAGACATAACCATGTATAAACCATTTCTTACTAAATAAGATGTGTATACAAGTTTACGTGTATATAATTCAAAAAGACTTTTATTTTAATAGAAATGCAATATCAGTTACCGTATTCATGATTTTCTAAATTGGAGAGACAGGAATGTACAAATTTAATTCCTAATTTGTAAAAGAGTTTAAAAAATTTCAATACATTAAAATTTGCATCATTGTAATGAAACTGAACCATAAGTATTGCTGAAAAACATTGCATAATCAGTAATTCAGTTAAATTATAAATAAAACATAAGTATTATGTAACACTGTTGTCTGGTTATTCAATAGAATGTGTTTATATATATCATTTTTAGCATGTTGCTGTATATCTCGACCGCAAATATCAAATGACGACATATTGCATTTAATTAAAGAGAGTATTTAACTAGACAACTTTAAATATTTTGTTTCTAGACACAATTTGATGTTTATATCTCATCATTTTATAATATATGAAATACCTTCGTTTGTTTTTGTAGATTTAAAAAAGGATTATTTTCGTTCAAGGCATGATTTAACGTAAGTTTAACAAAAAGTTGCTCCTGAATACATTAAAACTACACAATTAGATAGACAAGAAGATATGGCAGTTCTGAATAATTTAACATATTATTTGAAGAATACAATACTGACACTGTTATTTTTTAATATTAACTGTTTCATACTCTTGGAGATTAAGATCTTGAACTATTTTAAGACATATGTCGTTTTTTATCAAAAATAAAAAAAAACATTGTGCGATTGGAAATGACAGTATATTGACATGTAGTTCAGAAGATGCCTCTGTGATTTCTGTTTCGGCTGTACAGTGTGTCATATATCTTTTTATTCATATGTATTGTACATAAGTGATTGGACATTTACCATTCCTCGGCTAAAAAAAATAAGAAGATGCGGAATGATTGTCAAGGAGACAATTTTCCACCAGAGACTCAATAACGTAAATTTCTGAAACTATACGCCACCGTAAATCCTTCAACAATGAGCAAAACCCATACCGTAAACCAAACTATAAAAACGCCCCGACATCGACATGAAAAATGCAAAACAATTGAAACGGGAAAACTAACGAATTGACTCATGTACAAAACAATCAACGAAAAACAAATATAACACAAAAAGCAACAAACGACAACCATTGAATTAAAGGCTCCCGGCCCGGATCAAGCACAAATAGAATTTAGTGGGACCAAAAAAAATCTGCATACGCCAAACCCTCCTCTAACTAGGATACAAGAGCGAACTACAAAAATCACAAGAAAGGTCCAACCCACAAGACTGATATATTGTTTATGTACATATATATTGTATATATCTATTTCTCTGAAATAATTCTATCAAAAACTTCGACTTTTTAACCTTTTACACCACCATACTACGTCAAAAATTGAAATCTGTCATAGAGAAATATACCAGAATGCGTTTCTTCATAAAAATAGTACCTTAGGCTATACATTTATTGTTTTAGGATCTAATTAGGTATATTTTGTTAAAACTGAGCACGAAAAAATATGCCACACCGAAGAACAAGTAATCATTATGCTGAAGTTTTTCATTAACACCATTTTTTTTAATTTGAAGTTTTTCAAGCATGTTGACGGCATTACTATAGGAACCAATTACGCACCTCTCCTGGCCGACCTTTCCTTATTTTCACATAAGTCGGAGTTCCTTCAGACACTTGTCAAAAAACAAGATGCTAGATCATTTAATTTCACATACAGGTATATTCACGATGTTTTTTTTTCCATAAACAGTCCAAATATTTGATTGGGTTCCATTAATTTATCCTAGAGATTAATGAAACCACAGCCTTAATTCTAAAATAGACCTCGAATTTGACTACAACCGTCGTCTCAGTACCAGAATCTATGACAAACGAGACGATTTCAATTTGGAAATTATAAATTTTTCTAACCTTAGGAATAACATACTAACTGAACCCGCGTATAGAATATACATTTCTCTACTCATACCATATCAAAGGGCTTGCAGCTGCTACCAAGACTTAATTTAATTTAAACATCATCGGCGTCTGTGCGAAGTATTAATGAGCCAGGGTTTTGTCAAAGAACGTATCGTCCTTTTTCATCAAAAAGTTCATCAGAAAATACCAAAACCTAATAGACAAATATTCAGTGTCTACTTCTCAAACAATATAATATGGTCTTGAGTTATAGATTCTAGTTGCTAGAGTTGTGTATCATTTTATTTACTTAACAGTTTTTTTTAATTATTTGTCTTTGTGCCATTGTATTCCTTTTGGTCGTATTACTCGTGACATGACTTGGTATTTGTGCATCCAGCTATCAGGATTTTGGCTTGGTGTGTTCCTGGTGCAAAAGGGATCAGATGTGCTATTCGGACGCAAGAGGTTCTTACAGTGGTATTATCAGTTGGGTTACCCTTATTATTTCATATTGATTAAATTGTACTTTATCAGAAAAGTTTATACTAGTAAGACATTATGTTTTATTTATTGAATGTAATATTTACTACAAAATGTTGGCGTCTTTGTCAGATTCACTATCAACTGCAATAACTGTTTTGTTGGCGTCTTGATCTTATGTATTAGTATGTTTGTTTGTTTTTTTCAGTCAGTTGTGTTGTATGACTGTGATGTTTTTTACACAGTTTTGGCTGCTGGGTCCCAATTATTGTCGTATTAACCAAACATATGTGTTTGGGTTGCTCATATAAATTTGACAATATAACGGAATTATAACAACTGTCATATAAGTGGAAGGTTTAACTAGCCATAAAACCAGCTATTTTATCCTTTTTTTTTGGGGGGGGGATGCCTGTAC